TCCTTCGTTACGTGTCGTCGTCGTACGTTACGTACGTAACCGGTACCGTTCCGTCGGTCGTCGCTACGTACGTAGTCGTAGTAGTACGGACACTACCTCTCTCTCTCTCTCTCTCTCTCTCTCTCTCTCCTGTTTTCTCTTGTTTCTTTTATGGGCTTTTCATTTGTAGAGCATTGGAGGTTTGGGATCTTGTTTTGCGGGAGTTCATGGATTGGGGGTTTTGTTACTTCGTTGACCTCTATTAGTCTTTGTGTCATGAGTTTTATCCAATTTTAGTCAGTGGATTGGTTATGCATACTGGGTAGAGTTTCTTTTTGATTGCATACCCAGTTTCAGTTTAGCATGGGGGTCCAAGATCTTGTAGTGATTAATTTCTTGAATGGATTCTCTTAAAGTTTTGACTGATCTGTGAAATATGTTTTCGAGGTAAAAAAAAAGAAACTGCTTTATGTAAGTTTCAGTTGTTTGGATTGGACTGAATTTATTTCGACTGTTGGAACTGAAAATGCTAAAACTAGAGAAATAAGGAGGAAAAATCAGGAATGAGACTTAAAGAAGAAATAGAAACATTGGCAAAAGGGGACTAGCGAATGGCAGTACAATGAGGCTGAAAACTTACAATCAGACTTGTTCTGATACAGTATGAAATAGTGCCTAGACAGAGAGTAAATCTCAACTTGACCATGGTGATGGCACGAGTATCTCGAAGTCGTGCATGTCCTTAGCTAGATTGTTGAGGCTGATTCCCAGTAGGTATCTTGACATCCACCTAAGCCTTGGAAAGCTAAGCAAAAAGGCATGGGATCGGTTAATGGAGACGCCTTGCCTTGTGGAAGAGTCAGATTTAGGTTGATGCTCATTGAGGTGATGCAATGTAGCATCTTTGGTACTTCATGTTCCTTGTTCCAAATTTTGTAGGAGCTGATTGCAAATTTGGAAGGACATGATTTGTGTTGTTATAGCAACGTAATAATGAAGGTCACAAGTTTCATTTTGTTGAAATGGATGTAAACCTACAGTGCACCGGTTTGGATATTGGGTTTTATTAGATGGAGTGGTTAGTATCTTATAGGAAAAGGGCTTTGGAGATACGGGACATAGTTTTGGAGCTTGAAGCTTCCAAGTCATAAGCTTTGTCAGAGATTGTTTTGTGTTGAGGAAGATAGTCTTATCGGGGAGGTTAATGAGTGGTTTGGATGTTAGAAATTGTATTTCACTATTTCTCTCTCCTTTGGTGTTAATAAGATTGCATGGGTCAAGTTGTCCATTCAACAATCTGAGGGATTGGGGTGTCAATGACTTGATTTACCTGGGGTTCCCTGAATTTTCCGAGAAGGCTAGCATATCCACTACAAAGTGTTATTTAGGGGAATCTTCTCCAAAAGCATGACTCCTAGTTTTTCTAAAATTTGCATTATGCATCCTTGCGCTGAGGATCATTAGGCCATTGTTTCCTACACTGCTCCTTTTCTATAAATATTTGTAGCTTCTCTCTTGACCTCTATGGAGTACCCCATGTGATGGATTACTCCAGTCACTGTCTGACACTCTCACTTCTTCTGAAAAGGCTTTTGATTATGGAAGATGTGCCTCTGAGTCATTTGTTTAGCGCATCTAGAAAGAGAGATGGTGTGGTGTCATATGGTCTCTTGGGCCTTGACCCCCTTAAGGAGTGGCTCTGATTGAAAGCACAATATTTGATGTGTGTAGGAGGTTGGGCTGGGTAGTGGTTGGCAAAGAATCCCCTTTCGCATTCAGGGCTTTCCCATGAAGGGATTGTAACAGTTAAACTCAAATTACAGCTTAGGAGTCATATTTTTTTACTATTTAGGGGGAAGCTGGAAGGTTTTCGCAAGGAAGATAGCTTCGTGTCATTAGATAAAAGTTGAAATTAAGTTCTCTCGATAGAGTATTTCATAGTTCTTTTCAGATTTCCTGCTGGTAGAAGGCCACCTTTCAATGTGATTTGATGGATATATTGAGGGAAAGAAAACATGACGAGGATTGCAGACATTGCGGAGGAAATTATAAACATCAATAAGATGTAAATATTGCTTCATCGTGTCCCTTGAGATGCCAATACTATATGAGATCCTGGTGTCAAAGGCAAGGTAGAGAGATGTTGATGCTTGTGGACAAAATTGAATATTTTGAATTTCCTTTAGTTTGGTGAATTTGATTTATGCTTTTTTCCCTTGCTTCCATGAGATCCTTATTCCTTGGAGCATCTTGATGTATTCAAGTTTCTTAATGTTCAACAGGCATTTCTTGATTTCTTGAAGGGAAAATTTTCTAAAACACACCGCAAAATCAACAGAATCATGGTTTCCATTTGCAACTTTGTCAAAGTTTTTCTTGAGAATGCCTCGGGGTGGTAGATACCAATTCTCCTGTGCTAAAGGTTCAGAACTCTTGACTTTCATTACCATATACCAAACTGAGCATCTTTAATTGAGTTCCACCACTTGCATTTTAGGTCATAGCTTGACCCATGAGGTAATGTGGTGATCAATGATTTCCATCGAGGCATCAAGATATTTGCATTCTAGATGGTGGTGAATGATTTCCATCAAGACATTGACATATTTGCATTCGAGAATCATTACGGTAGGTTCCCATCGAGGCACCAAGATATTTGCATTCTAGATGGTGGTGAATGATTTCCATCAAGGCATCGTCACTTTTATATTTTTTGACTATGTTAACTGTTCTATTTATAAGAAAAGAGGTTACAAGAGAGCATAGAGGTTACCCACAAGGTGGGGCTCTAGCCAAAAAAATAGGCTTCCCAAGGAATGGTAGCCTTATACAAAAAATGGGGTTACATCATATAAGTTAACCCAGGTAATATAAACAAAAAACAGAGAAACAAGCAGCGAGATCTTAACTGTAATATAGCATCGGCACATTTGCATTCAAGATTCATTACTTTAGGTTCTGTTATTTTAAATGTTCACCAAATGCTCAATAAGAATGCTGATTCGCTTAGATTAGTTCACCTTTCGTTCACGTTTGCTTCCCAAACCTGCACCAAACAAGAGTATCATCACCTAAGCAATATTAAAGCTCCTAATGACCACCTTCAAGCTCTATCTGTGTTGAACCTATGAGCAATCTATAGTTTCTTCTACATCCCTCTATAGAAGACATGTCTGGCGACATCAAGCCCCAACTAGGGGTTCTGGGTGGACTGAGTGAGACCTTTGATTTTGGTGAATTGGCTTGAACTTAATGACTTAACAATAACTATAACATGGTGCCAATCAACAAAATTAGACATGCTCGAAAATGGTATTTGAGGCTTCAGTCTAGGTTTTATTTTAATCAAACATTGAAACTCAAAACTTCTATTCGGGATGCTGCTGCCATATAAACTATGATGGTCTTACCAGATTTGAGTATCAGGGATAACCATGATGGTTATTATTTAACAAAAACGGGGAATAGTCAGATAAGGATGTTCATTGTTATGCCTTTAATTTCATAATTGTTGGTTTTCTTCAGTAAGAATGTTTTTCTCAATTGGTTTCATGCCAGATAAGATGAGTGAATTAAGATTGAATTGATTGAAATCATACATTTTAGTATTTGTTATCTATTTCTTTGTAATTCTCTGATTATTGTTGTTGCCATCACTGAGTTCAGAATAGGTTAGCCTATCACATTTATCAAAATTTATACAGCAACTGTTTTGCAATTCAATATCCCCTACATTGCTTGAACATTTACAAACTTTATGCTAATATTATCCAGGACATGATCATCTTGTTTTTGATCATCCATATAATTTGTTTTTTCTAATTTTCTTCTACTACCATGCCGTATTAGATTGGGCGTGCAATTGTTCCACCTGTATGCTTCAACTGTTGTAGTAGAATTGTTGTTACGTTAAGGTAATGAGAACAGCTAAAGGTGTGAGGCAAGCCCAAGCTGACAATGAAATTGGGTTGGGCACTTTGGATGAAGATTGGGGATTAACTTGAGATATTATAAGAACTCATAAGAACTCACAACTAACATTAGAAATTATGAACAATGATTGAATATAACCGGGCCCTTTGGCCATTGGAGGAAAAGATTGAAAAGTAGAACTGTTCATATTATTTATAAAGAGGATATTAAGAGTTCCTAATAACTTCAGCACTGAATATTATTGGAAAATGTATTGAGACATATGTATGTGTTTGTCTGCCCAACATTCTCAGTACCTGCTTTAATTGATTGATTTCTTTAGTTCTAGGATGCAATGACCTTGGCCTTTAAAGCAATAATCGTGTGGATTAGTTTGTCTATTGGTTGGTGATAGGTTCATTTACTGCCTCTTTTTCCCTTCTGTCTGTGTTCACATGCTACATGGTCAAAATGCATCCAAATGCTGACTCTTCGAAGTGTAAGTATACCATATTCTGAGTTAATAGGAAATGTGGCACCCCAATCCATCCGCTATCCGTACTCAGTTGAATGTCCCTATGGGCTCTGCTCCTGTTAATCTCCAACCATACATCACTAGGAATGGGTTGGTAAATATAGCTTAGCGTTCCACATGCCCTAGCACAAGACTACAGTAAACTTTCTCTACTCTAAAATATATCTAAAATAGTAAGAGACAGACAGTGTTGCCTTGTGCATAGCCACATCCGAACATCTCAGTTTGCGCGATGGGTTTCCTTGCGCGATGGGTTCCCTCAAATCATCTGGCTGGTTGTTTTGCTTGTTTTTTCAGACAAACTCTACAAAATTTTGCCTTCTTGTACTTGGTAAAATTTACCATAAACAGCTGGTGTATAGTAGATGACAAACTATTGGAGCATTCTCTGTTCTCTATGGCAGATGGTGGAGATTAACTGTAGTTGCTTTTGATGGATATTCACCTGCATACCGTTAATCTTCGCTGTCTAGCATGGAGAACAGATGGTGGCTGCTCCGATGGTGCACTTGTACAATATGCTGGCTGTCTATGGCAGATGGTGGAGATTAACTGTAGTTGCTTTTGATGGATATTCACCTGCATACCGTTAATCTCCGCTGTCTAGCATGGAGAACAGATGGTGGCTGCTCTGATGGTGCACTTGTACAATATGCTGACTGTCTATGGTACATTTTTTTTTTTTTCTGGGAATGTTACCAAATCTATGGTGCATTTTTCTAAATATTATAACTTTAAACTTGCTTGAGATCTTCACCTTATGCATTGAATTCTGTGGCATCCCAATATCACTGTGCTGACCTCTTTTTCCCTTTGTTTTGTAGTGCAAATGTATTTGGAGTTTCTACTGAATCTATGCAGCTTTCCTTTGATTCCAGAGGGAATAGCGTGCCAACAATTCTCCTGCTGATGCAGAATTGTTTATATTCTCAAGGAGGACTTCGAGTATGTCCTTTACTTGATTAGTGTATTGAATTTTTAGCTGCAATGCCATGAATTTTACCTGAAATTTGGTTTACATGTACTGGAAACAAATGATATTTGAAATTTTGTTTTTTCAAATTTTCTTAGGAAAGTGGCATTTGCAGAAGTTCGAATCGAAAATTTGGCCGTAACTCTGATATTGTGTTTGATTCATTTTTTTATAGCAAATAATTCTTTCCACTAGGGGAACTTGAGTTGCAAACTTTAAATCTTGCTTTTTTTTGTCCTTGCTGAGTTGAAAATAGTAACCTTACTTGTGTTTTTTATCTTGTGTTTTATGACATTTCACTTGGTATACTATGGAAACTGAAACCACAGGCAGAGGGAATATTCAGGATAAATGCTGAAAATAGCCAAGAGGAGTATGTTCGAGACCAGTTGAACAAGGGAATTGTGCCAGAGGGGGTGGATGTCCACTGTTTGGCTGGTTTGATTAAGGTAATAAGTCTTAATGATAATGTTAACTGAATAATCCACGGAGGTCCTCCTTTCAAGGGCTCGACATACCAGTGTTTTAAAACTCTTTCGCTGAGTCAGACTCAGACTCGGTCGAGTTCCTTGGACTTGGCAGGGGGCTCAGTCCAAGTAGAAAACATTGGTAACCGGCTGAGTGGTTCCGTGAGTTTCTCTGCTAGATATGTTAATTAATGATAATGTTAACTGAATAATCCACGGAGGTCCTCCTTTCAAGGGCTTGTGACCATACCAGTGTTTTAAAACTCTCTTGCTGAGTCAGACTTAGACTCGGTTGAGTTCCTTGGACTCGGGGGGTTCAGTCCGAGTAGAGAACATTGGTAAACGGCTGAGTGATTCCCTGAGTTTCTATGCGAGATATGTTAAGACTCTGCTGAGTCCTACTTGGCATTGGCCGTCGAGCAGCCTGACTCAGGGCTTAGCTAGCAAGTCCCAACCCGAATACACAAAACATTGGACTATACTGTTAAAATTGAAGTTTCAATTATCACTAATGGAGTTCTTATTCTTTCTTTCATCTCTTATTTGAAGCTGTTTTCCTTTGTGAATGCATGTTATCATTTAGAATCAAATCTCTCTCTCTCTAAATTTTGCAGGCTTGGTTTAGAGAGCTCCCTAGTGGGGTTTTGGACTCTCTTTCACCAGAGGAGGTAATGCAGAGCAATACAGAAGAGGAGTATGCTCGGCTCGTGAGGCTTTTGCCCCCGACTGAAGCAGCTCTACTCGACTGGGCTATCAACTTAATGGCAGACGTCGTTCAAGAGGAACATCTCAACAAGATGAATGCTCGAAATGTGGCGATGGTGTTTGCCCCAAACATGACTCAGGTGCCAACATACCACCACCTCATTTAAGGCTTTGGGATTTCATTCATTTTGTGTGTGTAAGAGAGAGAGAGAGAGAGAGAGAGAGAGAGAGAGATGAGGATTGATTTTTGATTGATTGAGTGCTTATTTGCAGTTTGATCATAATCACTTCATATTTAGGTTCAGAATTTCATAACTTTTTGTCCCAGTTGTCTTACTAGTTTGCAGTCAAATTTGCACTTTGTCGGTTTGCTTCCTATCTTTTCTGTTTAGATATCTTTTATTGCATTTTTAACATTCTTATTTGAACATGAACATTTAGTTCTTAACCATCTGAGTTAGAACTCACCTTTATACAATTGCAGATGGCAGATCCTTTAACTGCACTAATGTATGCAGTGCAAGTGATGAATTTTCTTAAGACTCTGATCATAAAGACCCTAAGAGAGAGAGAGGAGCCTGTTCTTGAGGCAGCTTCTTGCTCTTCCAATTCCGATCCTCCAAAAGGTAATGGGGATCATGGCTCATCTCAGCGATGCCCAGAGGCCCACATTGGAGAAGAAAAGGAGGAAGAGAGAGAAACTCATCAAGAGAAAGAAGGGAGAGAAGAAACCGGTCAGTCACTCGAGGCTTCTGAGGCCATTTCAGATGGCATTTCACTAGGAGCCATAGCTGATCCTCTGTTTGAGGATTCGGGTGGGGGTTTAACCAATTCTAGAGAGAAGTCTACCCATAGTGGAAATGGGTTTTCAGGTGATGGGTCAACGGATACAAATTCTCTTCCAAACGGGGTGCACAAGCCTGTTAATGGCCTCAAGATTGAGGAAGTAGAAATTTGCTGTAAAAATAAGACCTGCAGCACCGGTAATCTAAATGGCAGGAAAAGCGCTAGAAACGGACAGCCTAAAGTTCAGATAAATTCGACTGTTGAGAAGTCGAGGGGAATCAATATCATAAGCCGTATAAATTCGAGGGTGGAGAGGGTCGAAGCATGGAGGTAGAAGTGGGAAAAACTGTGTGCTTGTGTTTTTCAGAGATTGGAAATGAGATTGGGTGTGCTTTTATGTCTGTTTCGTGGGTGGTTTCTTATGCATCACTGCTAATTGGGGAATGTGTCAAACCCTTTTCTTTTCATTCTGTTCAAAAACGGTTGGTTTCCTCTGATGAGGATGAAGTTGGTTTCGGTGTTCTGTGATGTGTGAGATTTGCTTTTGGTTATTTGGTTGTCCTCTTTCTCTCTCTACGACCATATGCTCACCTTCTGAGTTAGGCATTCTTTTATGCGACTAACTACCTCCAAGGGTCCTATTTCTGTGTATTTTGAGCATTGGCCTTACATCTTGTCTAAATTAATACATTATTTTTTGTATATTAATCTTTGAAATCTTGGGGCACAAGATCTCTTTCTAGCATGATCTTCCCCAGATTTGATACTTGGAATCCAAAACGAATATCCAAAGATGTTGTCAAGTGACTACGAGTGTGCATTGCAAGCACTCTTTTTGTAGGTGGATTAGATTTGAAATGGCTCCAATTGTTGTATATAATAATGGTAATTGCAACAAGTTGTAGGTGGGTTGTAGTCTATAAAACTGTTATTTTTAGCCAATCACTCGTGGCCGTCCCATTTGAAATCCGCCAGTTTAGAGAGTGACTAAATTTGAGATAAATACTTTTTTGGATTTCAAATGTACGACACACCTTGGCGTACGATTTGGCATCCATTGGTGGCTAAAGCAATTGAGCAAAATGACGGACAAAAATTCATGTAGTTGAACTCAATTAATTGAAAAAAAAAACTATGATGATGATGACGATGATGATATTAGTGGTGGTTGCTTCAAACTCTTCACGATTTGTTTATCATCATCCAATTACTTGATATAGAAAACTTCTTTTTCAATTCTTTACCCCACTTATATAGGAAACAAAATCAACCCTAGATTCCATGCCCCACCAAGATGTTAAACGAAATTGACATAGGGTTGTAAGGCATCCACTTATAGCCTCCCATTTCTCCAACTAGAGATGAACACCAAAATACAGCCCATTTACTCGAAAATAACAGTGTTGATTATTCTAGAGAGAGAGAGAGGACAATAAAAATAATTCCAGAGAGAGAAAGAGAACCCCAAAAAAAGACTCGAGGTGGGCGTATCTATCCTGGCTGGCTCAGCCCAACCCTGAGTTAGCCATAGGGCCACATAAAAACAGTGGACATTGGTGGCAAACCCAAGCCATCCATGAGCTTTGCGTATCTTTATCAGCTCCATCCATTGAACCCCTCCGGCTTTAACCTGTGGTGTCCAATCCACTTGTCACCAGATCCACACCCTCAATCCAACAAACTCCCCAACTGGCCATTGGGAGAAGAACTCGATCAAAACACCTCTCTCTCTCTCTCTCTCTCTTTCTCTCTCTTCCCCCAATTATAGCATCCACAACAAAGCCCGTGGCCGTTCCATATCCACACACAGTAACCCATCGTCTCACTCTTTCTGTGCCATATATATTTGTACCCCACTTTCTGATTTCTATTCTTTCTAAGAGAAAAACCCATGTGTCATGGCTGCTTGTAGGAGCTTACAGTATTACTTTGACAACCCAAAAGCCAAAACCTCTCTTCTGAATGACCTTGATGCCTTGGCCTCTTGGGGTCGAATGAATCCGGCCAGGGCCCAGGTGGAGCTTGCGGCCATTACCGAGCTCTTTGGTGAGCTTCACTTTCAGGAGAAACCCAAGTTCCAGGTTGCTAACGAGGAGGAGGAGAGTGCTGATCTTAGTCAAGATCAGGAGAATGGTAATTCTCAAGAAAAACCCAGGAAAACTTGCTCGGCTTTCGATTCTTTGTTCCATATTCCTGATGGAGAACGCGAAAATTACCTTAGTTTTCTTGATGCAAAACCAGATAAAAGTAGTTCTTCTTCATTGAATTCCTTTTTGGGTCTTGATAAAAAATCAGGTAAAAATTCTTCTTCGCTGAATTCCTTGTTGGGTAACAGTTATTGTTGTGCTTCCAAGGACCTCGAATGCTTTTCTCCGAAGTCTTCACCTTCTTCGAGATATTGCACAGAGGGATTGGGGTTTGAGAGCTGTGAAGAGATCGAAGAAGCCATGAATCCATCGACCTCATCATCATCATCATCAAAGCATGAGAAAGAAGAAGAAAAAACCCATGATGATGATGGTGGTAAGCATGAATGCAGTAACCATGAAAAAGCACTTATTTCTAAGCAGGTGAAGCCATGGCCCAAGGTAATGAGCTGCGAGAGGGGATCTAGTGTGAGAAAGAGAGAAAGGGTGGGTAATTTCCCACCCCCCATTTCTTGTATTGGGAGGAATGGTCAGCCTTGGGTTTCTCTGAGATCTTACAGGCATGATGGAAGGTTTGTTTTGAGAGAAATTAGAGTCCCAATTGCCCATGAGTTCTTGCGAGCATGTCGCGAAGATGGCAGGCTTAAACTCCGTTTTATTCAATCAGAAGAGGAAGAAGAAAAAGAAGAAGATGGTGATGAAAACTAGTTCAAGAAGAAGAAGAGAGAGGAAGACCAGGACCAGAAACTGGTTCAACCCATGTGGATCTTTCCTTGGAAGATGGAGATTCATAACAACATATATGTCATAGGTATTTGGCTTTATCAGCCACTGCTCAAAACATAAGAAAAAACAAAGAAATTTTTGTCCATCCTAACAAAAAGAGATCATGCTGGATGACGGTTTCTTCCCCTAAATTTTAAACCATATTTTGCTGATGGTTTTAGAGAGAGAGAGCTCAATAACCGGAGAATTGAAAGGGACAATGGTTTATACCCAAAAATGTTTGGAATCTCTAAATACAAAAGTCCATGTTGGGTGAATAATTGGAAAATCCAAGGTGAGGGGAATCAGGTGGGGAAATGGGATATGCCGAAATGAGAGTTTCAATGGAAGGGAAGTTTGGGGAAATGAGAAAAAAACTGTCTTGTTTACCAAAATGTGAAGTCTTAAAAAGCAAACAGTCCTTACTGCAAAGGTTGTTTTTGTTTTTATTTTGTGTGGGCTCTCAATGATCAAATGCCTTTTATTTTATTGTTTTTATTTTTTGTCATTTCTTGTGGTCTCTGTTCTTGGAGGTTTCGTCACTGGAGAACGATTCTAGTTGATTGCATTAACTTGCTTCCGTAAAGAATGCCATACACCAGCGGGGAGAGAGGGGATTGGAAGGGTTTGGACTCCACAGGATGTCAAAATCTATTTTTATATCTTATTATAAAATTTTAAATTTAAAACATGGTTAAAATCAAGTAGATCTATAAACATATGAAAATCTTGAAAATGGACGGTGTAGATAATACGTTGTAAAATGCACTATTCTTGATACTTAAAATCTTTTTAATTTTCATGGTCATACATCTTGATGTCGAGATGATCAATCACATGGTTTTTCAACATTAAAACTACTTTTTCCGATGGATTTTTGAGGTGCATCTGTAGTTCTACATTATAAGGTTGCATCCTTATATAAATTTTTTCTTTTTTATAAAGGCAACAATAGAAATGAGCAAGTTTTCTATGCTTTCCCAATAACATAAAACTTATATACTTCCCCTTATCCAACCTCCATTCTGAATTAAGGGCTAAGATTGCCCCAATCACAATGTCACGTCTCTACACTATTTTATTTTTTATTAACTATTTTGACACCAAATTATGGACGACCAATCCTCTATTAACTAGCACTAGTGAAAAATATAAAAAAAATATTTTCAATAAAATAAAATGATCAAAATACCCTTGAAAGTTTTAAAGGGTATTTTGATCATTATATTTTATCAAAAATTTATTTTTAGTATTTTTTATAGGTGCGCCCCAATGAGAAGATGACACGTACTAAATTTTATATTCATATAATTTGTATAAAAAAATTAAAAATAAAAAACTTTGAGACATTGGATATAAGATCAAACGGTGAGTGGCTCTCTTGATCAAAATTGAACATCTGGATGATAGAGGAAGCATAGATCTTCTATGCTTATATAAGTTTTTCTTTTTTTATAAAGACAACAATAGAAATATTGTTAATTCCTTTTGAGACAATGTAACAAGATAGGAAAGTGTAATTTCTAAAAGAGTTCATCTCTTTCTCTAAAATGCTTTATAGTATCAGAGCATCACTGATTATGTTAGTGTTTCATCTCGAAGTAGTTTTTCAATCTAAAGCGGGCAGCACTGGTCAGGCCAGGATCCCCCTTGCTTGGGCTCCCTCGGGGGCCAGGATCCCCCTTGCTTGGGCTCCCTCGGGGGCCCGGGTCCGATAGACCCCCTCTCGAACAACCGCCTGACTTCCACGAGTGCGCGTACAACTCGTGTGTCACGTGCGGATAGGTATGTCCAACTATGAGAGGATTTTAATGCGATAATGTAACAATCTTAAATTTTCAAAAAAAAAAGAAAAAAAAAAAAAAAACTTTTAAATAAGTGATGGTCCATATGAACATGATAGTCTTTAAGGACCATCACCATTTTCAAAGCTTTTAGTTTGAATTTGTTTATTTGCTGCTGCCTTGCCACGTCCAGTGGACGTGGGCTTTAAGCATATAAGAGGTAATATAAACGTTACACCTCATGTATGAGGTGTAACTTAATAAAATATTATTATAAAGTGTCGTAAGAGTTTAAATACGAGAGACGAGGTCTCTCTCTCTCTAGCCGAATTTTTATCGGAAGCTCCCTTTCAAAATATTTTAGGTAAGTGACATCGTCTTCCTGAAAAATAGTCTGTTTTTAATAAATAGTGATATTTCCGTCCAGGATCTTTATTTTATAAGTTTTATGTGTAAGTGACCTCATTGTCTCGAAAAATAATCCATTCTTTTTAAAAATAAAATGAAATAATTATTTCAGCTTATTATCATGAATTTTAGGCGCGATAAATTTTATGCACACACGACCTCATTATCTTGAAAAATAATCTTTTTAATAAAAATTGTGATATTTTATCTATGTTAGAAATTTTAAATGCTGTAAATTCTTAGAAAAATAAATTTATTTATTTTTCTTGTCTATTATTAGAAAATTTTAGATACTATCAAATTATTAGAAATAAATGTGATATTTCTGCTTTTAGTAAAATGGTGAGATTTCTTTCTACTGTTTTTAAATATCTAGACATTGTAAATTTCATGTGCAAATGACTGCCTTATTATCTGAAAATTGATATTTTTGCATTTGATTATAGCATTGTTGTGAAATGTTTATTTGCAAATTAACATCCCATAAATTATGATAATTTCGTATTCTTGAATTTCTATAAGAGTTTTTCTATACATATTAGATTGGCAATTATGCTAGAATGTCTTTACGAACTGCTACCTTTCTAAATTTGAGCCCAAAATATTTGATTGGTTGAAATGTTAATGAAAGTGACTGTTATTAATGGTGTCAGTGAAATTTATATTAATGATTTCAGTGATATGTTGAGTACATGATATTTGCTGCTTTCGAATGTTTAAAGATATTTAAAAATAATTTAAGTATGCAAGTGGACTCATCCGGTTCGCCGGTGAGGTATAAGTGAATCTATCCGGGACGCCGGAAGGGATTAAGTGGACTCATCCGGTACGCCGGTGAGGTATAAGTGGACCTGCAAGGATTAAGTGGATCTATCTAGGATGCCGATAGGGATTAAGTGGACCCATCAGGACGCTGATGGGGGTATATAGGTGACCTACTTGGGACACCAGTAGGGTATTTTGTGAAATCTTTTGAATTATGCACTGCCGTTAAAGTGTTATATGCATTTCAATTATTCGGATTATACTTAATTATAAATTTATTGAAAGTGAAACTGTTGATGCATTTCTGTTAATAGATCTCCTTTTTGAAAATATTGATATCTTTCAACCATGATTATTTTTAGGATTATGATGATCACTTACTGAGTAGCCAAACTCATCAAACTATGGTAAACATTTTTTTGGGATAACTGCG